TAATCAGTAATACAATTTGTGATTGACAAGTTATTTGTGTCGTATTATATTGTCTTATTATTGGCACCTCTAAATTTTATTTATGTATTGTGTTGTGTCGTGACAGCATGATAATGATAACAAAAATGTTTAGTGTATATGTTATTCGGGTTATATCATACCGTATCAATCCGCATAATAGATGGGACATTTATAAAATTGTTGGATTATTAATGTTTTTATGGATGGAATCCATATCTCAATAATTTATCCAACAAAAGATTAAAGTCTATCCAAACAATATCTTAACTAACAGAGGATCAATGAATGAGTCTCTTATCTCAATAGTGATTCTAAAAAACTAATAACCTGAAAATACCTAAGGCCCAAATCCATAGAGATAAACATTATAAACAAAGGCTAAAGACCGCATGTACACAATTTTAACTCATATTCTATAGCTGTTAACATTGTGTACACACACTCACATTCTGGCTATACGCTTATTATCAGTGCACAGTGATTGATACATTGATTTTGTGCCAATACAATATATTTCTCTTAGATATCTCTAAGCGCCTTATATGATAAATAGTCATGATCTATCTCGACTACTGAACAAATGTGATATCATCTCAACTTGCAAAATGAATAAATTATATTTATATAAAATATTCAGGTAAGAATCATGAGTGCAGGATATTAAATAACATCAACATGGTTGTGAGCCAAGGTCTCGTCTAATCAGTATCTTAGAATTCATATATAAAAAAATAATATAAAAATAAAACTCTTGCATTTGTTTTTTTCTTCTAATTACCTTACAAGGAAATGACCCAAGTGTGGTGGCTCAGTTGGTAGCATGGGGACTGAGTGGTGGGAGAAGACCTCGGTTCAAATCCCACCAACACCATCTGGGGAGGGGCATAAGTACCGTAATCCTTGGACTTGCACCCGAACTCTGGATTAGTCCCATAGGCGGCTCAAAGAGTCGAACTTGTGGGGATACCGGGAGGTTCTGATTCGCCTCAAAGAGATAATTATGATCAGTTTAAAAAAAGAAGAAGAAATAATTCAGGGGCGGAGATACTAACTTCCGGCTCTGGCATCTTGAACCATCTATATTCAATATGTCTACAACGAGTTTTACGTCTGAATTGGAGATTTCCCTCTCATAAGTAACATTACTTTATTTTTAGGTACGAAACTAAAGAAATTTTTGTATGGGAAAAGTGTTCTTTTTTATAGCGGTCCTTTTAAATAACATAATTTATATTATTTGACTCTCATAAAAAGGTGAGATTCACATCTTTATTTTTTTTATCCACTCTTTCTCTTCTCATAATTTATCTCTTTCTCACACTTAAAATGACACAGTTTTACATCCTTTAAAATAATACACAATTTCCCCTTTTTGTATACACTTAATGCATTCAATTTGAGTACATTAAACTAATAAAATGTCAACATACTATTAATATATGAATAAACATTTGTTTTATAAAATTAATAATGTGTCAACGAGATACTTTCTTGGTAAATCCAAGTATACTAAATTTATATAAAAAAAATCTGTATACATTTCTGTTGGGCTGCAGCATTAAATAAAAAAAATAAAAAAATAAAGGTATCAAGAAATTGAAATTATGCGAAGACGGTAGTTGTTGTTGTATAGGTGATAGGTCAACAATTTCCTAACACTCATATGGGATGTCTTGATAACCAATGGAGAAAAACGGTTGGAGAGGCGTGCTGCGCGTCAGAACCGAACAAAAATTAAATAAAAGATTATTTTTATTTGGGATAAGTTATTTTATATATCTTCTCTTCTTCTTTTTTCTTATTTTTGTCTATCTCTCTAATAGTATTTGATTAAAATTTTAATTACCTTTATTATTTTTCTTTTCTATTGAAATTCTAATCCAATAGTATTGGAGAGTAATGAAAAAAATAAACAGAAATATCTCTTTTTTTATTTTTGTAAAAAACATTAGAACTGTGAGTTAGCTTTGTTATTATTTTTTTAAATTATTAATTTTAGTATTTTTATTATTATTATTATTTTAGTATAACTCGAGTATCCTCGGCTAACAATCGAAGACTAATCCTCTTTGGACGTAGAGATCATAAGTGAGTTTTGCCTCTATCAATAAAGAATTTTATTATTATTTTAACTTATCTAACAATCATTCTTAAATCTTGATTAATTTTAATTTTTTATTATTATTTTAGTACACCTATTTTTATTATTTTAACTTATCTAACAATCATTCTTAAATCTTGATTAATTTTAATTTATCATTATTATTTTTAGTACACCTATTTTTATTATTTTAACTGTAGCATTATTTAAAAAACAAACTACATTGCACTTATACAGCAATATGTAAATTAGTATCTCTCATAAAACCATGTCCGTCTTTTTGGAGCCACTTATAATTATAACCCATTTTTTATTGGAGAAGGATTCGTTTACAATTTTTTTTTACCAATTATACTAAGTATATAACTAGTTATACACTTTTGATTGAAGTATGACCGGTTATACTTAGTGTAGTTTGTAAACAAAAAAATTTGTAAATATAACATTCTCATTTTTTATTTATATGCAGAACAAGGGATTAAGAGAGAGAAATATTTTATTTTATTTTTTAAAAAAAAAAGTGTGTATCATTTTATTTTATTTTGGTGAAAAAGTGTGTATCATTTTAAATGACACAAGTTGTGTCATTTCATAGACATAAAAAAGTGGGACTTATATTTTTATTTTTATTTTGTCTTTATTTTTTTTAGTGGGATTCACATTTGTGTCTATAAAATGACACAACTTGTATGATATAAAATGACACATTTTTTTCATTTTTAAATGAAGGGTGAAAATTGAATTTCTATGAAACATGAGAGAGAATATCTACGTCATATCAGGGTCTTACACTCAATTGATAAAGAATAGTTAGTCTTACATTCAATTTTAATAGTTGATTTTGTTTATAAGAATAAAAAACTTTACACTCAGTCTTGATCTTTAATTTACTTGTATTCAATGGTTAAGATAACTAAAAAAATTGACATAATAAATATAAATGACATCAGCGACAAAAATTGAAAATGTAACTCATTGATATAAAATGATAATGACTCATTGTTTTACACCATTTATATATGGGTTAAGATTATTTTACTCTAATATAAGATACACTCTCAATTTTAATTATTGATCATATGACTAGCACTTGAGAGTCGTTAGAGTCAAATAAATTAACGAAAGATTGAGAATATGACTTTTTATTCTTATACTATATAAAATTGATCATATATATATATGTATGAATTTATTATTTGTATTGTCATTTTAGATGGGATAAAAGACGTTTGCATTCAAAATTAATTGTAGAAAATAAAAATATTATATTTATTTTTATCTTTGTATGGTTATGATTCCGCATATTTAATACTTTATATTTATTTTCATCTTTATATGGTTATGATTTTCTATATTTAATGCTTTCACATTATAAAACAGAATAATTTTATATGACTGCATCAATGTTTACATACAGTCACCACAAACCCTATATATATATATAAGGCTTATCGTTTCCCAAGCTCCTTGAGATAATTTTATCTTTGGTTACTAAATCATAACCGTACAAAGATGGATCAATAGTGATAAAGGAAGAGAGAGAAAAAGAGAATCATAACCATTCAAAGGTGAATCAATTAATATAAGGAAATAAATAAATAAAATGACGTAGTTTTGGGGTAGCCGGAGATAAACTTATCTCAAGCTGCTTGAGAAATATTTTTCCCAAATATATATATATATATATATATATATATATATATATATATATATATATATGAAAAAATATTTCTATAGCCACTTCAAATAAGGTTATCTACAGTTATCCCAAAAACTACATCGTTTTGATTAACGAGGAGTATTTCTGTAATTTTAGGTGAATTAATGAAGAGTGTTTAAGTAATATTGATATGATAAAAAAATAAACAAAGTTACGGAAATATCTTTCATTAATTTACCTAAAATTACATAAACACCTTTCATTAATGTTTATCCATATATATATATATGGGAAAAACATTTGTCCTTTTAAAGGATATAACTTTGTCTCATTTTAGATCTTAACCGTTGATTTTTGTCAATCCACGGTTAGGATTTATTGAGTCAAATTTATTAATTAATTATTAATTTGCAGTAAAACTCAATAAATCATAACCGTTGATTGACGAAAATCAAACAGTTAAAATCTAAAATGACACAAAATTATATCCTTTAAAAGAACAAATATTTTTTCATATATATATATATATATATATATATATATATATATATAATCAATGGTTAATAATAAGATTAATAACTAAAAATTAAGAGTATAATTTAAATTTTATATATATATATATATATATATATATATATATATATTTGGCCGATTATACTTTCCACAACTTATTATTATCGATCAAATTTAGACCAATATAAATAACAACCATAAATTCAAGTAATAAGAAACTTGTTTCTGTTAACCAATGATTTCGAATCCTGGGAATGGAGATCGACAGATGCTCAAACCAGATTAATCAAATATTCAATAAACTGGTTGGGAAAAAATTAGATCTAATACCTACCAACTACTCACCAAAAGGATGGTAAATATAACCAACCCCTCTTTGTCTAAATATGGAAATACATCCTCTCGTATGAAAAAAAAATATGATATGATCACATGAAAATATCACAATCATACAAAGATAAATCAACGATTATGATTTTGTAACTACTTATTTTAACATTTTTTCTCTTTCCGTCTTTATTACCATTGATCCACCTTTGTATGGTTATGATTTATTACCATTGATCCACCTTTGTATGGTTATGATTTTCTACATATGACATGGTCATGAGAATTTTTACAATGAGAGGATCCAGATCCGTCTAAATATATACAAGCAGATCCAATTTACAATCGTATGGGAAATTGTCATAAACAATACTTGCAGAAACGATAGTTTCTTTATCTCCCAACACTTTTATAGGTTTCATATAATATAAGGAATTGTCCGTGTCTCTGAACCCTTACAGGTTCATACAATACAAGAAAACTAAAGTAAATACTTCATTGTCTAGGTATGAACAAAGTATAAGTTACACGAACAAAAAAGAATCCATTTGAAAAATATAGTGAAAAAGAATCATAGGACTGTTGCCTTGAAGACAACATGCAGACTCCCCCCTCCCCACTCTTTCTTCTCGCCTTTGAGGGCACTAATGGAAGGCGTCGCAAATAAGGCCCTTCCAATATCATCTACCCACAACTCATCTTTACGCGCGTTTTATTATCTTCGTCATTCCACGGCTTTCATTAAGAGATCATCACCATACATCACGCAAATACCTGCCAGTCATTTGTAGGTTCTTTACCATGCTCTCAGCCTTGGAACTATCGAGAGAACCCTGAAATTCACAAGCACAGGAACTTGATTAGCTAAAGACTCAATATTTCAAAATCCACCAAACCAGCCAGCAATAGATCTCAAGGAAAATTCGTGGTGAATATTAGAAGATGGGACGGCAATGATGACAAACATCGCATGACAGCAAAGTCTATACTTTACATAGAAAGGTGCTTATGCCCTCAGAGAAAAGACAAACACGAATACTACAGATAGACATGATGTCCACATGCTCGAGGCAGCAAAGATTTGGCATAGAGTGTTAACAACCCCAAATCTCAAATAAAAAATAGCTGTGGTCAGCCAATAATACAAGGTAGTAAATTGAGAAATCGCCTCGGCCATCAATACAATAAAAACTATACCTGTTCTTGCACAATTGTGTGCAGAGTGCGGTGTACATCCCTAGCCATGCCCTTGGCATCACCACACACATAAATGTAAGCCCCCTGAGATATCATGTTCCAAATATCTGAAGCCTGGACACAGTAAAGTGTTGATCAAGAGAAGGCTTAAATTGTTGATTGGTAATTAAAAGTTTTTGATAGAATTGTAGCAGCCAAAAAAAGAGTTGGTACCTTCTCTATCATTTTATGTTGCACATATTCCTTGGTGGGTCCCTCTCGTGAGAAGGCAACAATGAGCTCAGAAAGTGCGCCACTACTAACAAAGTGGTTCAACTCGCCTTCATATATGTAGTCCTTTAATGAAAATGATTGAAAAAAATTGGTAATCCAATCTTAAAATATATTAAAGCCCTGCTCAACACTAAAAAAGTCATAAATCTACATGGAGGATAGATCACTTACCATTCGACGGTTCCTGCATCCAAAGAATAAAACGGAGGGGCCAAGTTCAGCTCCTTCTTCTTTCAGAGCTAATCTTTCCTGAAGTGCAAATTAAAAACAAATATAAATAATTGGCATAGGTAGTTCAATGGAAGAAAGCATTAGGAGATTGAATATCAAGTCAGTTGGTTCAAACCTGCAAGAAACCCCTGAAAGGAGCAAATCCAGTGCCAGGACCAATCATGATTATAGGCACTTTATTATCAGCGGGGAGTTTGAAATTGGACTGCCTAACAAAGATAGGAGCCCAACTGCAGTCCTGGCTTTTCTCCAATGGCACAGAATTCTGCGCATCAAACCCAAAAGGATTGTTGATACTTGATAGTAAAAAAAATATTCAACCATGGCATGGATTTCCTAATTTGAAGCTGATACCTGTACTTAGATCCAATCTTTTTAATATGATAATACCATGCCAATCCTAAATAGTTTAAGTGACCATAATCTGGGAAATAGGTGACTATAAGTACCTTCATCCATGTTGAGCACACTCCTTTATGAATCCTTCCGGTTGGCATTTTATCATACACTAATGCACAGGTAACATGAATTCTGGATGAAGCCATCCTGTGAACAATTTCAGCAAACAGCCAAACAGTAAGAAGAAAATGAACATCTGTGATGCACATGTACAGTCACGAGAAGAAATTTAAAAAAATCACAGCCACTTTTCCTCTTTTGATGCCATTGAGAACAAGCTCGGACTTTGCACTTTAAGGAATGTTCAGGGTTAAATGGATTGGCTAAGAAATATTTTGGTAAGACTTTGGTAATGAGAACACCTAAGATATTGCAAAATTGGTTGCAGACTATGTTAATAGGTATGCACTAATTATTTTTCTTACTGCATGGTAAAAGACAAATGCATAACAAAGAGCCATAAGGCTTCTCCAATTTGGTCTTCATTCACTAGTCTCTCACTAGTCCCTACATGCCCACACGTACAAACAATAATGCAAGTGTAGCAAACAGAAATTAACCTTGGAGACGATGAGATTGAATAATATCTTGGCTGCAGGCGAGGAGAAACTGCTGCAAAAAAGACACCAATTGGAGGTTTGGCTGATGGAAATTCAGCCATGACCTCAAGGAGACTTCTTTGAGAGGCAATCACCCACTCTGAATATTCATCCTGTGCAGGTAGACCAAAGTAGCATACAAATGAGAAACATTAACACAAAAAGTTAATTAAAATCCCCATGGTATAAAATAATAAAAATATGTCAACCTTTCCAGCAGGTGAGGCGAGATGTCTTAGACGATCTGCTTCAGATGGATCAGATGCATAGGCAGCTAAGGCAAGCAAGGCAGACTGGAAATCAAAGAATTATTAATTGTAAACATAAAGTAAATTTCTTAAGAAGATAAAGCCATGAAGGGATGCAGGTTGAAATTAACGGTGCATCAAACTCAAAAGAAGCACCTTTTTGGGTGAACTTAAAACATCTGCATATCGAGTCAGAGCTGTTCTTAAAGTACAGGGTGGGAATGGAGGTGGCAAGGAGCTTCCACTAAGTGGTTTCCCATCTTCGCTATCAGTATGAACCGAGAAATAGGTATCTGGCGACAAACCTAATAACCTTACTGCCTCTTCCACAGTTTCAGAAAAATTCTCACAGTAAACACCAACATGATCCCCAGTTTCATATCTGTTATTTAAAAAAAAAAAAAACGCAACAAGAACAAGTTAAGGGTCAATACATTAGATAGACAACTGTGTTTCTACAGCTATATTTCCATATACAGATACTTACACAACTCCAGTGCCAGAAATGTCAAATTCTAAATGAGTGCAAGATCGATCCGATGCAGGAGTATGAAGCTCCTTTCGTACAGCTACATTTGCCCTTCACAGGTAGTAAGTATATACATGTCAGATTACAGTACAGCATAACCCAGTTGTAACTGTATATTCTAGTCTAATGTACCTCACTGGATGTTGGGCGTCCACAATGGCATGACCATTTACATTATGCCACTTTTCATCAACAGTTGCATCTAATGGATCATGAAAGACAACCCGATACTCCAAGACTGCAGCAGTATAAGGCGTAGATATAGTTGCATCATCCTCATCTCTAAGCAATTGATCCAATGCTGGCAACAGTTCTTCCTTCCTGCGATAACAGTCACTAGTTAGGGGAGGAGAAAGGGCTTAAAATATCAGCATCAAAATAGAGTTCTGCTCCAATGTACTCAAATCAACTTAGATATTTCAATACCATGCAGTGAAGTCATCCTCTATACATTGATCATCATCTCCTAGACCCACTGGGACAAGACGCTTCCCACCTGCAATTGCAGACGACAGGTCAGATTAGATAGGTGGTGAGAATCTATCAAAAAGGAAAGAGTTGAAAAAATAAAATAAAATTTGACAACATCTGTACTTAAGTTTTTATGCTAACTTCATTGCCAACATGAATTATGTGAACCATGTTAATTGACAACCGTTGCAGAAATCAAATAAATTAAAAAAAGTACCTAATTATCATTCAGTATATTTTTTAGTTATGAAAATCTGTAGAATCAAGAAAAGGTAACTAGCAAGTAACAGTCAACACAATTAAATTACTTGCGGAAGACCTATAGTTGTTTCATGGTAATAATTCTAATATGGTACAAAAATTTGAGATTTGAACCCTGTGATGTGAGGAGCATGTGAAGAGAGAGAGAGAGAGAGAGACAATAACATTGTGTTAGGATTGTGGGGCCTAATACAAGGATTCTAATCGTGCATAAACCTTCCAAATCAAAAAAATTAAAATAAAATTTACCTAGAAGCTAATGTAAGGGAAGAGAGGAGTTTATTATGCATTTACGATATTAACTATTAAGAGTTCCAACCTTTAGAACATGCATCAAAGTTTCAATCATTACCTAGGGCTAGTATTATGCATGAGAGTGACAAAAATTAAAGGAATGCACAGAAGTGAAAGATAGGAGTTGGTAAAAAATTGAGTGATTATAGAGACTTTTCTATTGCTAGAAATGTTGATTTCATGCAAGCCTAATGTCAAAGTAATAATGCTAATAAAAACTAAATTGAAGTCAGCCAGATCCCAAAGAAATTCACGAAGGACTAAAAGTGATCAAGAGGAATATTCACCTTGCTCAGCAAGAACCTCATCCACTACCTTTGCCACCTGAGTGAATTAACATACGCATGAGATACAGCATAGCAACAAGCAACTCCATGATTAGAGTGAAAGCTTAGAAACCCACAAGAAGGCAGGAATTCAATGCAAACCTTGTTAAAATGCTCATACTGCCTATTCCCGAGGCCAAACACAGCAAACTGAAGATTCTGAAGCCATTCTCCTCTCTCGTTTCCCTAAATCACAGTCACACAGTCAAGACATGATGCAATTATTTCACTCTCAATATTAATACAACTAAAGCCAATGTCAAACTTACCTCCGTAAACCATTTATAAAATCTAGCCGCATTATCAGTTGGTTCACCATCACCATATCTACACCCACCCCACGACACATAGATGAATAGAAACAAACCAAAAAATAAATAAAAAAGTAAATTAAAATTGCTGCAAAAAAAACACTTACGTGGCTAAAAAGAAAAGGGCGAATGTCTCCTTTTTCAATTTTTCATCGTACTCATCGTCATCGGCGGCATAATCATCCTGCTCACCAAATCCCAAAGCTTAAGCAAGCAATCCATGTATTGTATTGTATTCAATCAGAGAAAGATAGTTACAGTTAAGAGTTATGAGTTAAAGTACCAAATCGACGACTTTAAACGTGGCCTTGTCGTATCGCACTGTTGCCTCTTCCGCTATGGCCTGTTCACAAAACCAAATTCAATTATTCAAGTGATAAAGTAAAGCTGAGAAATACAGAGATGAAAGAAATTTGTATTTATATTTTGTAATAAGAATATTGATTGACCTTGGCGAATCCTTCAGCTGTACCGGTCTGAGTGCCGAAGAAGATGGTGACCTTTTTCTTACCATCATCAACCTCTTCCTCAGGCTCCTTCTCAATCAAGCGTTTTGGAATCTCAATCGGCTTTGATTTTTGGGCGTTGGATCTCCGCCATATCAAGACGACGACGCAGCCGATCAGAACCGCTATGGAGGTGGTTAATACCATAACTAACTCCCGGTTCTCGAGTATAATGGAGCCTGCTTCCGACGACGCGTTGGAGGGGTCCAGCCTCCCCTTGATTATGGCTGACATCAGATCCAGAGGGGAAATCTTCATGGAGTTCGACTCTTCCATGCTCATTGATTAACTCAATTGAAGAAAAGAGTCTCTCTCTCTCTTTGTGTCTCGCAAGTTGGTGGGTGCTGAGTAGTTGAGAGAAAGAGAGACTCTTAAACAATGAAATTGGGTAGGAGGGGGTTGTAGTTATAGTTATATTGTTGAGAGGAAAACCATAAACCATGCCACACTGAACCAACGCCTACCAACCCAGACCAGTCAAATCCACCTACCACCCTCTCTCCTTCACCCTTAACCCTGGTTAATCTTCCTTCTCTCTCTCTCTCTCTTTCTTTTCTTTTTTCCCCTTTTCATCATAATAATTTCATGTGTTATTTTGATATTTATTTTTTTTGGTTAAATCCTCGTTCATTGTCATTGTCATTGTCACCGCTTATTATTACCTAAACCCCTTGTTAATTACTGTCCAATAGTTCTTTTATTAATTATTTTTAAAATTCTTGAAACACTTATTAGCCCAGTTTTGATCCGGTTTAGTGGATTAGGCTTCCGAAGTATTTCTAATGCTTCAATCACTCTATACATCACCATGAAAATAACAGGCAGGTTTGAATAATGTTCTTAAAAATTGAACTATTTATTTTTTGACTCAAATTTAGAAATATATTCGAGTCATTTTTGTTTTGTATTTTGATTTTTGATTTTTAAAAAAAAAAATATAGAACATACAAATTTTAAGAACAAAAAAACACAAAACACGATCAAATATCCCCGTTTAATCTCTTATATACTGGCTTCAAGCTCTATGATTAACTATTACCCTTAATTACCTCTTCCATAACCACTATCAAATACGATGCCTTCATATGAAGGGTCCTAATTACTTACTATTTGCTTGTTTTTTTTTTTCTTTAAAAGGGAAAATTAGTATTCGAGTTTTGGAATTTATTAATAATTAATATTGTTATCTTTATTATATAATAGATTAACTTTTTGTATACTAATAGTAGTAGTATTGAAAGTCTTACAATGTTAAATTTATTTATTACAGCATAATTTTAAAAGGTATTATAAAATTGTTAGTTTATTTTAACCCGTTTTAATTCGAATAAAAGAAAATTCAATTTACTAATCATGTAATTTGATGGTAAAAAAAAATCATTTAAAAAAGTGTTCACATTTAACACTGACAAGTGCGAAAATATTACATCCACCAAAAAAAAAGTGCGAAAATATTATGAAAAAAAAAAAAAAAAAAAAAAACAAAGTTTGCTTTTTTCTTGCGCCTTTTTATAGACATAAAAAGAGTTAAAATATTTTCCCACGTGTCTTGCGCTTCCCGTCTTCCCTTTCTTCTCTATATATATTTTATTGTTTAGTCACATTGGTGTGCCGTCTTGCTGTAATGCTCCATTCCATTCCAAGCACCGGTAGCAATGCGAACGCGCGTGCTACTACACACCGGTAGCAATGCGAACGCGTGTGCAACTGCAACCAATGGCTCAACCGACATGTGAATAACTACATAGTAAATTTATATTAATAAAAGTATTTGTCTTCTTAAATATCATAATTTGTGTTATTTCATTCTTATAAAGAGGTGAAATTCACACTTTTATTTTTTTTTTTGGTCTATTATCTTTTCTTCATAATTTATTTCTTTTTCTCACTTAAAATTACACAATTTTATATTTTTTAAAATGATACACAATTTTCCTATATATAATACGGCTATTCATTATTCTTTTGATGCAATTCTTTGTTTTTCTTTATTTGGTCGTATTCTCCAATTAAAGTTGATGATGGTGTTGCACCCAGTTTATTACAACAACAACCTCACCCGCCAAAAAAAAAATAGGAGTTGATGGTACTGGTGTTAACTTGGAGGTTTATATAGAATAAATTCATTTTTTATTCCTTATTTAAAAAAATATATTATTCGCATTCTTGATTAAGTTGATAAACTATTTGAAATTTTTTAATACAATATGTAAATTTATATTACTTTTTAAAAAAAATTGATTCATAGTCACGAAAATTAAGTTCGAGGTCTAATAGTTGAAATATTTTTTTTACTTATATTTATTTTATGTATATTTAAAAAAATATCTTAAATATAATAAGCTAATATATTTTTTTTTACCGACAACAGGGCAATAGCCCAACTAACAAGAACAAAAAATAAAATATACGATTTACCGCTGATATCAGCATACAAAATTAAAAAACCAATACAATGAGGTATTTCCAGCAACTACATGTCATCAAAAGTTTTCTTTGAAAAAGTAAACATTTAATAAAAGGAAAAAGTGAGTATTATTTTAAAAGAGATAAAGTTGTGTCATTTGAAGAGAGAAAAAGAGAGAATTGATAAAAATAAATAAAAGTGTGGTCCCACCTCTTACTGAGAGTGAGAGAATATAAGTTGTGTCATTTAAAATAATAAACATTTTTTCCTTAATAAAAAGTCATAAATATTACTTTAATAATAAGGTTATTTTCTTTATTATCTTAACAAAAATCATTTTAACTGAGTTAACTTTGACTAACAACATCTCTTTCATGATGAGTTTTTTATTTTATAAATACTTATAATCAATGAGTATTTTTTTGATACATTAAATTAAATTGGGCAAGTGATGATTGCGACTTGCGGGTTGTGCTTATTATTTGTTTATGTATGCCGTCCGTACGCCTTAAACTCCGATACTTTCAGAGAGGCATATGGCAAGTGGCAACGACAACACACGGACACTATATATGGAACATAAGGAAAACTTAAATAGAAAGAAAACGACATCGAGCCACTTACCCATAATAAAAGAAAAAGAAAGAAAAATCGACAGGTTGCAACCCATCCACGGAAAGAAACGTGGAAGGATATTCCACCCCACATATTTCATGTGATACCAAACTGCATTACCGCCAGTTTTTGTGGTTTACGTGGAAGCTTTGTTCACCATCGTATGTGCTCACTGTTAGAACTTAGAAGATTAATGTAATTAATTATGTCGATTGATTTGATTATTTATTTGTATCTCACGGACCAACAAAGAAAGTGAGAAGCTCATAATTAGCAACAAGAAAAGGGTGAAGTAACCAAGGAGGCGTTGTGCGATAATCCAACTGTTTTTATGGTCATTTATTTCCATGTATCAATTCTGAAATAATACTGAAACTTTTCCTGAGAAATAAGTTAAGAGTGTTGAAAATTCAATTTAAGCGAATATATATAACATATTGTGTTTTTCAGATTAATACCATGATAGTTGTGTTGATAGTTTTGAGTATTTTCACAAAGCATATAAAGGATTTATTATTTATTCAGATACAATTGAAGTGTTTATTTAATATTTTATGATATTTAAAAGTAAAGCTATCTTGCTAAAACAGTGGTTTCATATGGACTGAGTTTGCATTAATTGTACCAAAATAAATTTTATAATTAAACGGAGAGTTTGTGATAGTTAAAATATTACTAAAAGCGTCTTTATTTACTTAACCCAAATTGAATTATGAGAATAGTAGTTTTGTTTCAATATTTATTTCAAAAAGGGGAAGTTTAGTGATAAACGTCACTTCAACCTCTCTCTAACACATTCCATCACGTAAGGGCTTTTTTTTTTGTTTACCTTGTGCTGCACGAGTCTTTTTTTGGTCTGTTTTGTGCTTTTCTTAATTTCACATGAAAGTGGAAGTCGGTGAGAATCGAACTTGTGACCTCGTGATCACTGAAGCTCTGATACCATGTAAAGAACCACTTTAACCTAAAACGTTAAGGTTGTTATGGACCCATATAAGGGACCCATCAAGTGGTAAGCCCAACAAGGGGCAATCCAAGATATGAATCAATATTAATAATGGATAGATATCCATCAAGGATACTAATCCTAATACGACAGCATAACAAGCAGGCCTGGGCTCTTACCAGAGGCACCAAAGGCTCATCCAAACTACCCATAGGTAACCTCTATAAATACAAGGTAAACCCTAAAGGTACGGTACGCTCTCTCTCTTACTGTTATGATGTCACTGTGCGCACACACACCCCATTGGCTAACGCTGTTATAGTATTTTGTGCACAGTGATCTACTTGACTCAAGGGTATCTCATTCATAAATACCTTGGAGAGGGCACTAGATCCAAGAGAAACATACCAGTCTATTGGGCTGGACATCTCTGTCTCAAGGACATAACAAAGGATATAGGTGATGATCTTTTTAATACTTTATATTATTCTCTAACATGTAAGCCTTTAATTGATGATTCATGTTCAACAACAATCATATCAAGAATGTGAAAGAGGATCTTTAGAATTCATGAGTTTCACATAAACATACATTTGTCCATGATTGCGGAAGATCTTTAATGGTAGAATACTTTCTCAGAGTCTTGACCATTTTCTCTTCGTGTATCTTCTTCTGATAGGGATGAGATACAACACTCATAGGCAGACCTTGATGGTAGTAAGTTTCTAAAGACCTTCTTATAAGAAACTCCTCATTACCTTTTTCATAACTGCACCTATCAACAGTTACACTTTAAATAACTTTCTTAACAGTCAATTACAATTATGCCCTTTTATTAATCAAATCAGATAACACTTAATATTATACACGAGACAAATAAGATTTTACATAACATGTCAAAAAATATGTCATTTACTGTATCAAGATTCATCTTTGTTAAGCTAAAAGAGTTGGAATAGTGGTTTTAGAAGGAGAGATTCTTATTTTAGTACTCAGATTTCAATTTAAAAAACTAAAGATCGTTATTCTCGTAAATAATTTAGGTTAATGTGGAAGGTCTGCTTTTTAACATGGCCCAACAAGGAAATTACCATAGGTTACAAATTACGAATAGTTATAGGTTAATAAGAATTAGTTCAAATAGTAAGGTTAAACAGTTCGATGCAAAGGTCATCAATTTGATTATTTCTAATAGTCATTTATTGGTAAGTTCTCTTTAAGCCCTTAATCTCAATCCTTCTTTGTCTCTTTAAAATTTACCCATCAAAAAAGGAGGGTTCGTTTTCAAAATTTGCGCAGGACTCCCGCTACACAAATTTTGTGAGGATTGAATTGGCAGTGGACAAGATAATACTATAACATGTGGAAGGCTAGAAAATGAATTGGTCAAAGAAATAAGATTTATTTTGACTGAGCTTGATAAAAGGCCTAAAAGACGAAAAAACTGCAATGAATCTTCCAAGGTCAGCTGAAATTCAGCGTCATCGCCATTCTTCGTCATTTCTTAAAATAGACCACCTTAATTTTGTTCTTGGACGATGTCAGCACCCATTAGGAAAGTCTAGATGCAGATGCATGTTGTGGTGAGCAGCATTGACCCAGATAATTTTTACATGATTGAAATGTATTAGACTTAATGATGCACATAGTTTCATTTGATGAATTATATTTTTGTCTTCATATCATAGTTTATGCTCTCTTGACTATAATGCATTGAAATCATATAAAAATCCAAGTGCTTAGTTGGGTTATACTTTTTATCTTTTTTCTCTATTGAATAATTCAAAAGGACAATTACAGACTTTCAATCTGTTGAATTAAGATTTCCAGGTTTAAGGCATGTCGAATCAAAAAAATAAATAAATTACAAGGACTTACAATAATCTTCTGAATGATATAATAATGAAAAATCAGTAACAATAATCAAACTCATAACATTTTTAATTAATTGTTTGGTCTTTTACCAAATATTTCCATGTATATTTATGGGACTAACCTTTGGTGTTCAGGAAATTCTAATTTACAGGATCAGATAATTTTTATTGATAAAAATAACTTAATTTTGTTTAGACTTTCAACAGCCTTGAATCTTGAAATTTCAAACGTTTGAATAAAAAGGAAAAAGACAAAAACAAATTAAAAGAAGAACCTTTTCAGCAAATAATAAATAAGTAAACGGATGTACAAAAAAAAAAGGAAAAGTAAACGGAACATGTACAATGGCATAAATTTCAAAGAGTCAAAACAATTTTTCTTCGAAAAATGTTTGTCCTTTTAAACGACATAATTTGGGTCATTTCACTCTCACGTGTGACTCATATCTTTATTTTTTTTGTCTACTCTCTTCCCCCCATGATTTATATCTCTCTCACTTAAAATGATACAAATTTACATCCTTTAAAACGATACACATTTTTTTTTCTTTTTTTGGTAAAAGTATTTTTGCCTTTACGACAAATAAATATTTCTGCCACAATTGCAGAAAAATGAAATCTTTTTTTTTTTGGGTAAATAGTCAAAACAAATTTGGTTAATTGAAATAGAGTCTTCGTTTCTTGTTCGTAGAGGTGGCAAAATGGGCGGTCTACCCCGCCCGCCACAAGTCAGCTAAAAAATAGGCTGGTCCGCCTGCCTTTGAATGTGGGTTAGAAACTTAGACCGCTCGGCCCCGTCTGAGCGAATTATCCGCTAACCTGATGACATTTTACACTAAAAAAAACCCAGCCCAAATCAACTGACGGATTTGAAAAACTCAATAGGCCCTACCCCGCCCCGACCCGTTTGGCAGACAAGACAAGGGGAATCCGTTTTCCCACCTTTTATTGTTCGGTCGAAGATGGGCTTTTTGGGGGGTCTCATAAAATAAACAATTTGATGAACTAGGTCGGGTGTTTATAAACTCAAAAACTCTTCATATCTCATTGTAAAAAAAAAAACTATATTATCATTTATTGATGCTTTCGTATTAAAAATAAAATAAAATTATAAAGCTAATATATACAAAAGATGTTATTTGCATAATAATCATGAAACAAATTTTAGAATTTTCAAAAAATCGAAAATCGATCCCATACAAACCGAAAATCTATCCAATGCAAACCGAAAAAAATTGGATTGGATCGGATCGGATTTGAAAAAAATTCAAAACCATATGGATGATTACATGATCAAACCGAAGGGATTAGATCATATGATTTTGCTTTCAAAACCTATCTAATCCAGACCGCGAACACCCCTACATGTCACAATATGAATGGTGGCAAACAAAAATTAAAATATTACTATTTTAATAAATAATTATGAATACATAGCTGTTTCGAAACTATCTACGGATCTATTGCACTTATTCACGCCCAAATTAAGCGTGACTATTCACGCCCAAATTAGGCGTGACTCCCAAGGCATTCACGCCTAATTTAGGCGTGAATCATGTGGTGTTGACACTTGAAAAAAAAAATAAACTTACGAACCGTAAAACTTTGAAAAGTCATAACTTTTGACTCGGGTATTCGAATGAGGTAATTCTCTTTTTGATTCCACATAATTTGTCGAGATCTACACAATGACATCTCATTTGATATATTTTATCTCTCACAAACAAAATTCAAATTTGCAATAATTGTATTATATAGTGTATTACCAAAAAAAATTAAAAAATTATTATTAATAAGAAAAACAAAATAAAGATTTAATTTGTGATTTAAACTCAAAAATCAATTTGAAAAATCTGTATTAATAAAGAAAATAATTAAATAAATATTCTAAACACTTGGTAGAATATTATATAAATTTGTATATATTTTAATAATCAAAAAAATAACCTGGTAGACTATTTTTTTTCAAACACTTGGTAGAGGCAAATAAATAAGTTGTCATTTTGAACCTAATTACGAATATATTGCACTCATTCACGTCCAATAATGGTACTATAACATTAAATTCAAATAACCTCCAATAACTTGATTGCATTTTGTATTTAATAGGAGTTGTTTGTGTTTTGCATTTAATAGGAGCTGATTGCGTTGTAATTTTATGAGTTGGTTACAGATTGTCGCCAATTCAAATAAATTTGTTGTTGGTTATTTGAATTTTGAATTTAATGTTACAGGAGTTGATTGCGTTTTGTATTTAACAGGAGCTGATTGCGTTTTGCACTTAATAGGAAATTTGGTGCCATCTTATTTATAGATGAGTTAATCCACTTTGGTGCCATCTATATAGTATAATTGTAAATTTGAATTGTGTTTGTGAGAGATAAAATATGTCAAATGAGATGTCATTGCGTAGATCTCGAAAAGTTATTTGGAATCAAAAAAAGAATTACCTCATTCGGATACCCGTGTCAAAAGTTATGACCTTATAAAGTTTTACGGTTAAACTATTAATTTTTTGTGTCACGTGTCAACACCAAACGAGTCACGCCTAATTTAGGCGTGAATGCCTTGGGAGTCACGCCTAACTTAGGCGTGAATAGTCATGCCTAATTTGGGCGTGAATAAGTGCAATTGATCCGTAGATAGTTTTGAAACAGTTATTTATTTGTAATTATTTATTAAAATAGTAATATTTTAATTTTTTTGCCTATGAATGGTGCTAGGTCTCGCCAAAATTAGACAAGAGTGATCTCGCCTAAAAATGGAGAGTTAAGGAATTCGTCCCAATTGGGCGAGACTCACTGCAATAGATTCGTAAAATGGTTCAAAATAACTATATTTTTTTTAAAAATAATAACATATTAATTTTTTCTCCAAAAACTTGATAGCGACTCGGCAAGTGCATCGGTCGTAAAGTAATAAAATGTACTGAGTACGAGATCGTTCCCACTAGGATCAGAATTTCAAGTACTAGTTCGCTAATTGCGTTTTAGTTGGACAATCAAAGGTTTGGTTTGAGAGAATTTAGATGAAAAGAGTCGTGGTTCAAAGAACTTAAAATTAAAAACAAGTAAAGGCATGCAATATGAATATTCAGAATTAAAAGAATGAATGATGATGATGTTTGATTGAAATTTAAACAAGCGTATTTAAGGTTTCAACTTCCCCCAATACCTCAATATGTTATGAATTAAAAAGTCAAGAATCTGTTTCTTAATATATTGTCAATCAATTTTATCTGAGTTAATTAGGGCTCAATTTTTAATGTTAAAGGTGTGAATCTCACCTCTTTGTGAGAGTAAAATGATATAAGTTGTATTATTTAAAAGGATAGACATTTTTCCAATTTTATTATACTGATTGATGGGCAATTAATAAGGCCATTTTAATTTATTTATTTTCCTCCCTACTCATTAATGAAATTGAAAAATATCACATAAATTAACATTTTGCATCTGCGCTGTACTATGCGGCGAGTGGTATGATGTATAATCTCTTATAATGTGACAAGAATGTTAGAGAGATTTACGCTAATTTTTAATCCGACTCAGATCCATAAATAATTGATTTGTCTTGTGAGTCTGCGGTGGTCAAAAAGCGCTGAATAACAAATCGGATCATCTCGTAAGACCAAGTTTTGAAGAACCCGCCACAGAAAAACGCTAGAAGTTGGAGTGCATTCGGTCAGTTTGGAAAGACACAAGGTATATTATTCTATTTCTTTTTTTTGGAATCATATATTATTCTATTTCTACTTCCATTTTGATTTGAGAAATTAGGATTTCGATTTTTAGGTTTTTCAGTTTCCGTGTAGACTTGTTAATCTCGAATGCTTGTTCGTGCGAGTGGTAGATAAGGAAGGTGAAGAACCCAATATGAAGATAGCAAAGCTGAGCGAGAACAATGAAGACAGGCTCAGTGATTTGCCTGATTGCGTTCTAACTCACTTAATGTCATTTCTGCCAACCCAAGTTGCTGTTCAAACTTGCATCTTGTCGAGGAGGTGGAAGGGACTCTGGAAACGTCTTCCTACGCTTATATTACATCAATGGCACTTTCGAGCAGGGTGCTTGTTCAACAAATTTGTGCCTAAGGTTCTTTCTTTCCGTGATGACTCTGTTCCACTCCACCATCTTGAATTCTATGACGAGGACTGTTTTACTACCCATGCTCTGAAAATGGTTTTGAGATATGCTTTTTATCTTATGATATCCAGCAGTTAAAACTCACTTATAGTTGTAATCATCTTGATTTGCCACCTTCCTTATTTCTGTGTCAGACTTTAACATCCCTTGATCTCACAGCTAACCGCATACCTCACTTATTTCCAAAATCTCTAAATCTGACAGCTTTAACAAGTTTGCGTCTTCAACACTTCACCTTTGGTGACAGTGAATTGGTGGAGCCATTTTCGTCATGTATTAAGTTGAAGACTTTGGTTATTCACACTTGTGTTATAAAGGATACTCAAATCCTATGCATTTCAAATGCTACACTTGTCAAGTTGACCATAGATTCTTACCAAGCTTACAAAATTGTGCTATCAACTCCCAATCTTTGTTCTTTCGCTTTCTCGGGTGTTCCCATTCAGCATATTTCTTCAAGCAATATTTCTTCTATTAAACAAGTAAATATTGCTGTTGATCCATGGGCTGTATTGTGTCACTCGCGATCAGGTTTTATCCTATTTAGCTGGCTGCAACTATTTGCTAACGTGAGATCATTGACACTCTATTCAAGTACTCTTCAGGTATCTTCATTTCCTTAAAAGCACGTTATTTCTTGTTTTTCTATTAGGATGCATTTTCTGAGTCCAGATTTTGCCAGACCTCAATCTTGTCATTTAAAAGATTCTTATGTTAATATGTCTTGTTGACTCCTCATTGTGTAGGTTCTCTCCTCCATCCCAGATTTATTGAATACTGAAGCCCCTTGCTTGGGTAACTTGAAGTCATTGATAGTGAAAGTGAAAAACATTTTGCCTCCATATGAAAGGCCAGGATTAGTTTTGAGATACAAGAAACCAGAATTGAAACCTGTACCTGTCAGAGTAGTGGATTACTTGATTCGAAACTCCCCTTTCGCAGAGATCACTATCATAAATTGTGAAGGTGATACGCACATTTAAATCTTTGAATATATTTTCATATCTTTCCTTCTTTCTCTGTTTCTCTCCCCCCTCCCTCCAAATCCCGTTAGGTGTCGCAACAAATTATCCATGTGTTTATTGCAATATTTGCTTATGAAAATAGTAGAAAATTTAAGAAAACATCTCTGCGAAAAAATGATTTCTGGAAACATACCTATTGACCTTTTTGATGCCTATATTGGAGTAAAAACTCCCTTGTAATATTTTTAGATTGTTAGTGTATTAAGCTGGTGCAGAGCTACTATACGGAACCTCCTGGATTAGTGTTCTTTCACCTTGTAGTTACGTGGTTAAGCCCACGTGGCTTCTATTATAACTTTAAACAGTTGCAACTGAGTTTGGTTAGTTGGTTTAGATTGCAGCTTAGTTTGCAAGCTAAATGTATTCCTGTAAATACAATTCCTGTTATTCAGATCTGTAGGTTAAGCTGAACTTACTTTGCAAGCTGAACTATCCCTATATAAGTTTGCATATTAGGAACTATGCTTTTCTTCCTGTATTAAGCTGAAGACTTTAGTCATTGTCCATTGTGTTATAAGGGCAAATTCACATATCCTTTGCACTTCAAATGCCATGCTTGTCAATTTTACCATACATGCTTCCCCTTCCCCAGTTTATCAGAAAGGTTTTTACACAGCAGTATCCACTCCGAATCTTAATTCTTTTGATTTTTCGGGTGTTCCTGCTCAGCAACTTTATGCAAGCAATCTGTCTGTTCTTAAACAATTAAATATCAATGTTGATGATAAGGCATGTTGCTTGCAGTCAGTTTCCCTCTTCATGTACTCTTTTGGTATCTTCGTTTAACGGTTTTGAAGCGCATGATTGTCATTCTCAATTAAGATGAATTTTTGTGCCAAATTGTTTACCACAGCTCAATTTTGATTAAAAAATTCTCAAGTTCATGTCTCTAATTGATGCCTCATAGCTTAGGTTCTCTCCTTAAGCCTGGATTTATTGATTACTTAACCCCCTTGCTTGCTCGGGTAACTGGGAGTTATTGATAGTGAAAGTGAAACCATTGTTGTTCACCAAGCCAAGAAAGGCTGGTAAGTCAAGGAAAGCAGAATTCAAACTGTCTTCACCTGTTCGAAACTTCCCTTTTGGTGAGGTTACAAACTTACAATCATAAATTCTAATGGTGCTATGCACATTTAAGTTTTACTTTTTAAATAAAGATTCATATTATTATTTTTCTTGCTTTCTGTGTTTCACTTTTCCTCCCCCTATGCTGCTAGTTGCTACAATCTATAAATAAATTATCAATTTGTTTGCAATATTAGCTTAACAAAATATTTGTGAATTTAAGAAAGCATACTATTAACTTTGACTGTGTGAAACATACCTCACTTTTTTGACAGGTATGTAATTTCAGCTTAAATTATGATATCTAGCAAGAATAGGAAATACTGCTGTTTATATTAATTTATTCACTTCGAAAGCAATATATCAGTTGCTGGAACAAATATTAATATTGATGTTATTGAAGGCTGATGAGCAAAAGCAAAAGAAAAAACAGTTATATCATCGATTGTTTATTATTATAGAATGAAATTAGGCCTCATCTTGAAATGAAACGTTAATGGCGTGCATGTTGAATTACCTTTCCAATTGATTATATGATTTGGCTAGCCAATAACCATTGCTTGAAGAACACCACTGTCAATGGAAAATGCTGAAATAACTGCTAATAGCAGCTTGCCTTCCATTTGTATTTCAGTATTCATTTTGTTATTTTATATCGCTGTACTTTGTATATTGTATCAAGCCTCTTACGTTAGGCTAGGAGTTTAATCCTTGTTGCCCACATTCTTCACATTCAAAAGATCAATAGTGCTGGACTGGAATGCACTGCCAACAGGCTAAATATTCAAGTTCAGAATATGATTTGTCAATACAATATCCTTTTCAAATTCATAAAGTGCTGCAAAAAGCAGAAGTTCTTCCGCTACCTTGTGAAGGAAACTAGAAGGCAACTAAGTATTGATATCGTGAGAAATTTTGATGCATGCTTAATACTACCTTTTTCTTTAAAGGAAATATACTATTAAGTTTCAGATTTAAAAATAGGGATAGGATCCGTTTACAAACTTTTTTTTTTGTAAATTATACTAAGTACGACCGGCCGTACACTGCATGATTAAAGTATGACCGGTCGTACTTAGTGTAGTTTGTAAGAGTTTGTAAACAAAAAAGTTTGTAAATATAACCTGTCCCTTAAAAATAATCGTAAGCATCACCTTAAATTTTCAAATCATACTGGGGGATCCATATTTTGAACAATAATGTGTTATTCGTGTTGAGTAAATTGTCGTTGACTCAAATCGTACGAAAGTGAACTTCGAGAGGTGAAATTATAAATAGTAAGCTGTTAATCCTAAATATTTTATGGATTTTGTAGCTCTTCTGTCACTGCAATTTTTTTTTCCAGCAACAATAGGATATAGTTTCGGATTCTGGTGTTTCTTTTTTTTTTTTTTTTTAAAAAAGCAATTGAGATCCACTTGCTTGTGTCTGCTGCATCCAATAACGCTGTGCAATCGTTGTAGAAAATTTGCATCCATATTTTATTTGAGTTTGATATTTTCTACATCTACCATAGATTTGAGTGTATTTAATCAAAAATAGGGGATAAGAAACTCAACCAAATTGGAAACAGCCAAATGACTAAGAGTTGGATGTAGCCTTAATTATTTTTCAATGTACATTGTCAGTGTGTATCTTTCAACATGCAGAAAATAATGCCTTTAACTATCACAACAAAAAGCTTCATCGAGTTTTTTTTAATAAAGTTTCGTGTTAAACTTTAGCAGGTTTGATAACACAACTTGAAAACCATGTAAAAAAGGGCATAGGGAAAAACATATATCATTTGGCAATTAGCTAGACGTCATGGGAAAACAGAACCATTAGAGTTAAACAATTAAAGAATGCCCTTTGTACTTATTAATTAGGAAGCATATATCATTCACTATCTTATCAAAAAGTTTAAAATTGTGTGAACCACATTATATCAGATGTATATCATAAAAGGATCCCACTTTAACTTGGTAGTTTTTTTTTTTTGTTTTTTGGTATCCTAACTTGGTAGTTGTTATTATTGTATATCAGACAGGGAAACAAAAAGCAAGACATAAGTGTTTTTTTTTCAAAAGCTCATCCAAAATGAGATTTAAAACTATTTCTATTTTTTCTCCAAAAAAAAAATCTATTTCTTATGCTTTTTACAAATTATTATAGTTAAAAATTCAATTACTAACCACTAAAATCTTGATTTATCATTATGTTTTTATGATTCTAATTTAATGGAGTTAGAGAGTGATAGACAAAAAAAAAAATAGATAGAATAACCTATCTCAAATTCAAAAATCAAACTTTCATTCCTTTCGTTACTAAAAGAATAGAGGAACAAATAACATAAGGTGTACAATTTTTGGGGATTACTTCTAATGTTATAGGAGAAAAGTAATCTTCTTGCAGACACATAGTTTAAGTGGGTCCCACCATAAAAAAAAATTAAAAGTGATATGAGAAGATAATTTTGCAGCAATGTAAGACCTCTTTTTGCTATAAATTTTATAGAGGCTCCATTGGAGCCATCGTGGACCTGTATTGTTGTAAGTGTGTGCAAGTGCACACACAAATTTTTGGAAAAAAAAATATATATTTGGAGTCCTCAATAAAAATTATTTGGCCCAATTTAAATTCTTAGGAAAAAAAGTCGACTTTTGATCCCTCTTAATTCCAAAATAGATCCGGTTAGTCGAAATTGTGGTCCCTCTGAAATTCAAAGAAGACCTACATTAATCCCTCAAAAAGACTAACACAGGTCTATTTTGAAATTCAGATGGATCACGAGTCAATTTTTCTTAAGGGATTAAATTAAGTCCCGTAATTTTTGTTGATGACCCATGAGATACTTTATTTTTGTAGTAAGTTCAAGTTTTTTTTTTATATTCTTTTATTTTTTATATATTTAACATTTTATTTAAAAGACAAATTCAGAGACATTGTCTCCGAACCTTCATCCCTAAATATGCAGACATAAATAATATTTCATGGGTCCGCCACTGATTGGAGCCTTATGACCAGGATGAAGCTTGGGTGAAACTAAGTGGAGGTCTGAACCGACTGATGTTGAAGAATCAACAGATGAGTTGTGGTTAGGGGTGAAATGCCACTCAAACCCAGAGCTACAGCTCGGGGCTCTGACCGCGTGCATTTTGAAGAATGAGCCGGCGACTCATAGGCAGTGGCTTGGTTAAGGGAAACCACCAGAGCCGTAACGAAAGTGAGCTTTCATAGGGCAATTGTCACTGCTTATGGACCCGAACTTGGGTGGTCTATCCATGACTAGGATGAAGCTTAGGTGAAACTAAGTGGAGCTCCGAACCGACTGGCGTTGAAAAATCAGTGGATGCTAATAATGATAATAACCTTTTTTTATTTTTGAAGATATCAGAATGATATTTTTACCGTTAGTGAAAAAGGATTTTTCATTTCTTTCAGCGAGAAAACAAAACTAGGCTTCCGAGGGCATACGGTCTTGATGAAAATGATAGTGCAGTAACTCAAAGCTCCCAAAGTTAAGTTTACTCACGTGATACCTTGATCAGCTGTAACTAATTCAGTTATGTTAGTTATTACTTATAGCTTTTCAAGTTTTAGTTAAACTGCATATATAGTTAGAATGTAGAATAATAAAGATAAGTTGCAATCTTTTATTTAGAATAGTAAAAATAAGTTATAATCTTTTCTTTTCAATTTCGTAAATAAAGTTTCTTTTCTCAAGATGAGAATACCAGAAAATTAATAGGAGGATCTAGTTTTGATAATGACCACTGAGCCCAAATTTTTTCGATTTCAGCAACACATCTCTAGATGGTGAAGTGGACAATTATATTCTACATGAATCCGCGAGCTTTGAAGCAGGTTCATCCTGAATGCAAGCCAACATGGATCAAAGTCAGCAGCCCAATGAGAGTTTGGGGTATCAGAACAAGTAATGGCACTTGCCCAAACACAAGCCCCGATTCCTTTTACTTGCTGTCAGGTTCTTAGAGAAATGGTTCATATTAAAGGTGTGGTTTTCTTTCTTTTTTTCTTTAATAATAAAATTATCCCCTTTTCATTATCCTTAATTATATACATATATATATATGTGTGGATGCTTGGCAGATACTAACTCTGAAAAACTTGAGATTCACTGAAGGGTTGGGGTTATTACCCAAGCACTTCACTAGAAGAATATAGCCCCTTCTTAGGGATGTGCATGGGTCGAACCAAACCAATTTTTTAAAAAAATCAAACCAAATTGGTTTAAATGGTTCGGTTCGAAAGTGGTTTGGTTCGATTCAAAACTGGTTCGGTTCGGAAGTGGTTCGGTTAGATTGGAAACGGTTCGGAACTGGTTCGGGTCGACCCTATTTTGAAAAGAAAAAAATAAAAAATTTAAAAATAAAGTTATAAAAATCAATTTGGTTGGGTTTGAAAACGGTTCGGTTCGGTTCAAAATGGTTCGGTTCTTAAACTGGTTCTGAAAACTGGTTCGGTTCATGAACTGGTTCTTTAACAATCGGTTCGGTTCATGAACCAGTTTTTAAAAATCGGTTATTTTAAGGGCGGTTCGATTCGATTCATGGTTCGGTCCAGTTTTTTGGTTATTTTGCACACCCGACCCTTTCTTCAAGCGACCTTCAATGTGAAATGATTGAGTACGCTCTAGTTCTTTGTTCTACATTTATTTTTCTGTGATTATTACCAACTTCAATGTGAATGGGCCATTACTTTAATTTTTCTTGATTATTACCCACTATGTTTTTTAAGACCCTCATACCAACACTAAGTGATTGTTTGAATCATCTTATTTTTTACAAATAATAAATATTTATTTAAAGGGAAAAATGTTTCTGCAGTTACTGCAGATAACTTATCTGCATTTATACCCAAAACGACGTCGTTTTGGTATTGAAATCTTAGAAAATTATAAATATAAAGACTATTA